TTAACGAAAAATATTTAAAATTAAAAATATTGGAAATAAAAAGAATCACTGCATAACTACACATTTCGGGTGCTCAGTGATATGTATATTTACGTATGTTGAGTATAGGTCTTTATCTATAGCACCCCCATTTCAAAGAGAGATTGTTTACCACGTTTGTTTATTTTATTTTTTTTAATCTGATTAAAAGGTCGAAAATTTTGATGAAAAATCGTTGATTTTTCCTTTGTTTTGTATAAAGCTTGAAAACTGGGTTTATAGGATTTTATCTAAGCATGATGAAATTTTTTATAAAATAATTTAAGCTCTCAATATATTTTAAATACTTTTCATATGTTTCTATGTTTAAGAATGACATTGATGTTACCAATAACGACTTTTTTGGAAATATTTTAGCCGTTACCCCATAAACTAGGACAGTTTGCTTTACGTTTTTGGGTCTAAGAAAATCGAAAAAATATAGTATGGTATATTTGTGCATCTTTTGTCAGCTTTCACATGACCAGTATGAGTAACATTGTTGACAGCGCAACTAGCACAACATGAGTTTCAACCGCCCAGCTCAGCATCCCTGTTGCAGCAGTTTAGGGATAGTTCTGAAATTTGTAGGGTGGAACTAGCGCTTTGCCAGACTCTCTAAATTTTTCTGCAGGGAAGTAATAATAATTAAGTAAATACCATAGCTTTTATTTACATATTTTCCATAACTTAAATTGCTATGAACGAACTAATGTAAGGGGGAGGAATATTCCTCAAGCATTTCCAAATTCGTTCCTTCAAAACAATTTAATTCTGTTTATAAATTATGGGCAAGAAGAATATGGCAAAATTGATCACTTTGCCAAATTCCTCTTTTTCCAATGTAATGCGATTAAAGCATGCAATTTTGCAACCCTACAAATCACTACAAATCTCTTTCTATGAATTCGCTTTAAGCTAATCTAGAACAATTAATTTACGATACTAAAAATGCAACCCTGTTGTATTTAAGATAGCAACTACATATGTTCAAGATGAAAACTGAAAAATATACGAGCGTCATTCTTGCCCGCATTTTCAAAACGTTCAGACGTCTAGTACTTTTTTACAAATCTTAATTGGAATTTTTCTGGCTACAAGCCACTTTTGCAATCCGACATGCGTACAACGATAATATCTAACTGTCCGAACAGAAACATAATTGTGGCGCGGTATTCCCGCACTCAAGGCAGCAGCACCAGTGGAGCGCTAGGGCTCCATGCATTCGAAGGCTTGCAGAATACAGCAGCGCCAGGGCTCCACAACGCGAAGGTTGCAGGTATGCCGCAAATAAGGAAGTGGAAAATTCCACTTCACAAATCACTGTGCAGCGTGGTTGTTATTGTGAGTTCTGTACATTAATTTGATAAATTGTATAGGCAGGCGATCTAAACTATTTAATTGTCAAAATTATTACGGCACTTTTACAACCTACTGAATGGCAGCAGCGCTGTAAGTAGTGAAGAAGACGAACCCGAGTCCCCAGTCGATGATGATGGAGTAGCTGTCTCACCGCCTGATTATGACGAGGTACGAATAGCGATTACGCGGCTGAAAAACAACAAAGCTGCTGGAGCTGACGGCCTGCCAGCCGAGCTATTCAAGTACGGCGGCAATGAGCTGATGAGGTGCATGCATCAGCTCGTATGCAGAATATGGTCAGATGAACGCATGCCCGACGACTGGAATTTAAGTGTGCTCTGCCCAATCCACAAGAAAGGCGACCCCGCCATACGCGCCAACTACCGCGGAATCAGCCTTCTAAGCATAGGTTATAAGGTCTTATCGAGTGTATTGTGCGAAAGACTGAAGCCCACCGTCAACGAGCTGATTGGACCTTATCATTGTGGCTTTAGGCCTGGAAAATCCACCATAGATCAGGTATTTACAATACGCCAAATCTTGGAAAAGACCCGCGAGAATAGGATCGACACACACCATCTATTTGTCGATTTCAAAGCCACTTTCGACAGCACGAAGAGAAGTTGCCTTTATGCCGCGATGTCTTAATTTGGTATCCCCGCGAAACTAATACGGCTGTGTAAAATTACGTTGAGCAATACCACCAGCTCCGTCAGAATAGGCAAGGACCTCTCCGAGGCGTTTGATACCAAACGAGGTTTCAGACAAGGGGACTCCCTTTCGTGTGATTTCTTTAGTCTGATGTTGGAGAAGATAACAAGAGCCGCAGAACTGAACCGCTCAGGCACAATACTTTAAAAGAGCGTACAATTGCTGGCGTATGCCGACGAAGTCGATATTATAGGAAAAAACAAGGGCTACGTCTGTTCTGCCTTCTCGGGATTGGATAGAGAAGCAAAGCGAATGGGTCTGGTGGTGAACGAGGTCAAAACGAAGTATCTCCTGTCATCACACAAACAGTCAGAGCATACGCGTCTTGGCACCTACGTCACTGTTGACAGTTACAAGTTTGAAAAAGTAGACGACTTCGTTTATTTGGGAACCAGCATTAACATCAATAATAATGCCAGCCTTGAAATCCAACGGAGAATCACTCTTGCCAACAAGTGCTACTTTGGCTGAGTGTATGGCGCGGAGGCATGGACAATGAAAGCATCTGATGAGGCGGCTCTTGGAGTTTTCGAGAGAAAGATTCTGCGAAAGATTTACGGACCTTTACGCGTTGGTGATGGCGAATATCGCAGACGATTTAACGATGAGCTGTATGAGCTATACCACGATATAGACATAGTGCAGCGAATTAAAATTCAGCGGCTCCGCTGGCTTGGTCATGGTGGAGAAGAACTTGGCTGCACTTGGCATTTCAAATTGGCGTCAGTTAGCACAGAAGAGAAATGACTGGCGTGCTGTTTTGGACTCGGCCAAAATCGCTTAGGCGGTTACAGCGCCAATAAAGAAGAAGAAGAAGAATATTTATTGCAATATTGTTCTTGAGCTTTGTACCACCATTATGTTAAAAAAAAATGGAAAAAGTAACAAAGTCTAAGCGCTAGAAGTTATAGCTGCTATTTCGGTTTAATCAAATTAGTGTATAGCATTAACAATAACAACCACGCTATCAAGTTTAAATAGCGGCGAATCAGCTGCACTTCATGGTAGTAGGTGGAATAAGGAAATGGATTAGCAACAAGAGTTTACGGGTTGTGCATAGCTCAGTGGTCAGCACTGCTGGCTTTGCACATCGATGATGCAGGTTCGATTCCTTCTGAAGTCTAGAAAAAAAGAGTCTGATGAGATGTGGTGATCTACTATATAGCAGCTATAACTTCTACCACTTAGAATTTGTTGCTTTTCCATTTTTCATAAAAAAAATATAATCGTGGTACAAACCTCAGTAACAATATTGAAAAAAATATTGATACGTCACAGTAATATCGACAAGTAAATAGTTCAGAATGAGCCTGCCTCAAGCTATACAATAAATGTAATTAATGTGTATAATTAATAAACAACACGCTGTCAAGTTTAAATAGCGGCGAATCAGCTTTTGATAGTAATAGGTTGAATATGGAAATGGATTAGCAAGAAGAGTTTACGGGGTCTGCATTGCTCCGCGGTTAGCGTTGCTGGCTTTGCACATCAATGATGTGGGTCCCGTTCTTGCTGAATTCTAATGAGGAGATTTGGTGATCTCGGAAATAGCAGCTATAACTTCTATCGCTTATGACGATTTCGTTCCTACAAAAAATGTTGCCTTCTCATCGCCTTCTTCTAAGTGTTTGAGCGTAGAGGACAAGGAGAAGGTTGCATTTTTCGGTAGAAACGAAATCGGCATTAGACTTTGGTTCTTTTTCAATTTCTCCTAAAAACAAAGCTCAATAACAATATTGAAATAAATATTAATACACCACAATATTGACAAGTAATCAGTTTCCAATTCGGCATTTTACTGTGGCTGGGCGTATTAAACCTTTTTATCAACTATAGTTTAGAAATAAAAGTGACTGATGCTTTGGATTGATTCATTTCTGAGTTATGGGATATTGATCTAGTTTGTTTTTCAAAGATAGTTTTTTCTTTACTTATCAGTTTGGTGCCTTATTCCGTTGCAAGAATATTTCGCCTAACGTATTATTTTAGCTTGAAACATATATTCATTCTATTTGCAAGAATAATGAACAATTTAAAGCAACTACATATGTACATATACTCACAATATTATGTGTATGTTTCTATATAGGTAGCTGATATTCTTACTGTAAAAGGTGGAACTGGTGCTATAATCGAATATCATGGAAACGGCGTTAATTCAATATCTTGCACTGGTATGGCGACGATTTGTAACATGGGAGCCGAAATTGGTGCCACCACATCAGTATTTCCGTTTAATGAGCGCATGGCCACATATTTGAAATCTACTAACCGAAGCGCTATTGCAGACGAAGCAAATAAATACAAAAAACAACTTTTTACTCCAGATGGAAATTGTGAATACGACGAACTAATTGAAATTAACTTAGATACGTTAGAACCTCATGTCAATGGACCATTTACACCTGATCTGGCTCACCCAATAAGTAAATTGGGAGCGAATGCAAAACAAAATGGGTATCCACTGGATATTAAAGTAGGTCTAATTGGCTCTTGTACCAATTCCTCATATGAGGATATGGGTCGTTGTGCTAATATTGCAAAGGACGCAATGACACATGGTCTTAAGTCGAAAATTCCGTTTAATGTTACGCCTGGCTCTGAGCAGATTCGTGCAACCATCGAGAGGGACGGAATCGGTGAAGTTTTTGAAAAGTTTGGTGGCACCGTTTTAGCGAATGCATGCGGCCCCTGTATCGGCCAATGGGATCGAAAAGATGTGAAAAAAGGTGACAAAAACACAATCGTAACTTCGTATAACCGCAACTTTACTGGGAGAAATGATGCTAATCCTGCAACCCACTCATTTGTTACCAGGTGAGAACCAATACTAAAAATTTGAAAGTATGAGTTGTATTACGAGATATTTTTTGGAATATGAAGAACTGATGAATTTTTACATGGTAGATCTTTTTGAATACTGTAATGCCAACCGCAGGAACAATAAAACTTGATTTGTGGGACTCAGGGGGTTGCGGAACCGCTATCTTGAAACAAGAGTGGCCAACTTTTTCCCCAAATTAGAGCAAGAGAAATTTTAGGGCCTGAACTAAACTATTCCTAAACGTTAGCATCCATGTGGTAGTCAAGTTCCAATAGGATTTTTGTATGAGAAGATTTTCTTGACAGATGAATACTTACGCGGAAGTTTACCATGGCCATTCCGAGAACGATCGCTAGAAGGAAACAACTATTATTGCACAAGGAATTGGACTGGTACGGCGCATGGGAGGGCGCAATATAATTGATTTTACCGTTCAGAATTAATTTTTGACGCAGACATCAAAAATGATATTTTAACGTGCAACTAGTGAAAAACAACTTATTCGTTCTTCTGACATAAGTATACAAGTATGAACCAGAGATCAGTTGCGGTGTATAGTTATAGTATGCGTAGTCGAATTTGAATGTCCGAATGCGGTGCACCGTATTCTACAGTGGCTCAATAAAGAACTCGGATACCCAAGTGATATGATTTCAAATAAAATAAAATTATAGTTTAAAAAACTAAAAGCTCGCTTTTATTACAACGTGAACTAGACAAAATAATAATTTATAGAAATACAGATTCTAGAAAAAAATAATAATTTATAGAAACACAGATTTTGTTTAAGAGGAATAGGAAGTTCCCTACTTGATTTAATTAAACTTTTAAACCCAGCCTAAAATAAATAATTGAAATAATTGACAATAAAATTAATTTACCGGAAAACAAACTCAGGTTGTTCGTCCTTGTACGTTACATTCTTGTTGCTATGCGTATTTTACAGGTGTGTCCAACGTTGCTCCACTGATGCACACATGGTAATATCGATGAGGCCAGAACTGCGTGCATGAGTTTCTGCTTTGCATTCGTTCTTGTGGTTGTTGTAGTGGTATTAAACGAGCGTGATTTTGACAATCACTTAATCGATGGCGGATTGTATAGGCTAGGACTACGTAGAACGTTTATTAATTATGAAGAATAAATATTCTTTGTAAGCGAAAACTAGGGGTTTATATCAGCATTTTGATTCGAATTTTCTGAAAAAGTTTAATGTATTAAAAAGTAAGTTTGGCTTTCTGTATAAACTTGACAAGCTGAGAGATCTTGGCTTGATCATTACTTTTAAAGATTTCTTCAAAATTGTTAAAGTTTCAAAATAAATCGAATTCAGGTCTAAGATTCACATGACTTCTGCAATGAAATGTTCATAATTATCGGTTTGACCACAGTAGCATCTAGGTGAGTTAAAGGCTTTTATTTTAACTAAGTACGCTTTATCGTATGTATGGCCCGTCAATATTCTGTTTAATGTTTTGATATCAGTTGGCGATAGCAAACTTTTTTCGAACCAAGCAAATTTCTTTCTACTACGTACATGGCTTGGAGTCCAAACCAGACGGTCAATTTTCGTTCTACGTTATTACGAAATGATACAAATAACACTTTTACACTGCATTTATTTCAGTGTTACTTTTATAGTTTTCACTTCACTTCACGACAAAGCAGACTGGGAATTGACCCTCAGAGCTACTTCAGTTAAGTCCGCTTCAATAATCCTAATATGAATTTGATGTGCAATGCTGGTTTTGGTATTAAGATATCTTAGGATTTGGCAAGAGGTGAGACTGTCGGTGAAAATAATGCTTATCATTATTGATGCTTCGTCAATCGCACAAAGTTCACCAAACGTTGATGACGCCCTGAAATCAATACAGTAGAGGTGTTCAGTGTTATTAAATCAGTTGTATATTCCTAAACCAGTGCTTTCTTCAGATATAGACTGGTCAGTGTACATTATGTAGAAATTATTGTTCTTGAAGTTGTTAAGAATGCTAAAATGATAGGATTTAGACTTGCACTGGACATGATGATGGATGAAAAGGAGTGGATCAATACGGTCAAGGATATCTGAGAATTTACTGCATACAGTAGAATAGCTGGAGTAGTGAGGATCGGAGGTTATAGAATTTAATATGTGATCATTAAAAGCAAGGATTTTTATTTATTCTTTAGCCGTAAGCCATATAGCTCGTTCATTAGGAGCGAGTTCATTTGCCAATGCGTTCATAACTGGGATGGGTGTTGACGGGGTTAGTACAAGACATCTTAAGAATTTGTTTTGCAAGGTAGATATTTTCTTAAGAGATGATTTAGCACAGTTGGCTGCCGTGGTACTGCAGTACTCTATTTTGGACCTTACTAGAGATTTATAAATGTTCAAAGCGGGATATTAGTGACATATTTAAACAATTTGATGTTATTGGTCGCAGAATTAACAATCATGGAATGACAATTTTTAATCGTGTGAGAGCTGCTGATTCTGCCAAGTATTTTCAAGCTGAACACTTGTCCAAGTCTGGTACCATTTATGGATATATTTATGGTTTTAATAGGACAGGATTAAATGAAAGGTTTAGTTGATTGCATTTATTGATTAAGGAATTTAGTTTCACCTGTAAATTTTGTTGGGCTTCTCAGAGATTGGTACCAGTTGCTACAGGTAGAAATCGTCCGCAAATTGAAATATTTGCACATTATTGTCGTTTAAGTCGTGTAGTTTTGAGGTATACACATATGTTGAGAAGTAGAAGTGACAGGCGCGAGTTCATTTGCCAATGCGTACATAACTGGGATGGGTGTTGACGGGGTTAGTACAAGACATCTTAGGAATTTGTTTTGCAAGGTAGATATTTTCTTAAGAGATGATTTAACACAGTTGGCTGCCGTGGTACTGCAGTACTCTATTTTGGACCTTACTAGAGATTTATAAATGTTCAAAGCGGGATATTAGTGACATATTTAAACAATTTGATGTTATTGGTCGCAGAATTAACAATCATGGAATGACAATTTTTAATCGTGTGAGAGCTGTTGAT